GGAGGGTGAGGACACCTGGGGAGGGGCTTACATGGACTTCTAAGCCTTCTATTTTCTTTCCTTTCTTTTTTTCTGGTTTGTAGTACCATGGAATTACAGGTGTGCATCACTACACCTGACTCTGCTTTTTAAATGTTTTTATTAGTATCTAATAGTTGCACGGGGGTTCTGTTGTGACGTGTCGATATATGCATATCAGTTTGGTTCATCCCCTCCATTGTTCTCCCCTCCTCTCTCCTCTTCTTGAAATGACTCTGACAGGTTTTAACGTTCCATATTTATTCATGTATAGAAAATACATCAACCATATTCTCCTCCTCTACCCTCTTCATTTCACCTTCCCCCTCCCACTCATGCCCTCCCCTTAACACGATCTGTTTTATGTCCTGTCCTTCATTGTTTAAGTGTCCATTGTTCAATGGAGTTTTGTGTGTGTGTGTGCGTGTGTGTGGTCTTGGGATTTGAACTCAGTGGCCTACACTTGAGCCACTCCACCAGCCCATTTTCTGTGATGCGTGTTTTCAAGATAGCGTCTCACAAACTATTTCCCCAGACTGGCTTTGAATGGCGATCCTCCTGATCTCTGCCTCCTGACTTGGTAGGATTCCAGGCGTGGGCCACCGGCACCCAGTCTCAATGGAGTTTTGCCTTGGTATTTTACCTGTAAATATATTGTACTTTGATCAGCCTAACCCCCTCTATTACTCTTCCTTACCCTTTCTCCCTACCCCATGTTGTTCCAAAGTTTTCAGTGCATTTCATTGTGTCTTGTTCCTGCACAGATTTGTTGTATTTCGATATTACTCGCCTCTTACTCTTTCTTTCCCTCTCCCCTAGTCCGTGGGCACGAAGACTTGAACTCATACTTAGCAAACGTTTTAGTATTTAAACTTACTTACCAATGGCTCAGATGAAATATTTATCACATTTCTATTTCTTTTTTTTTGATTTTCTGGGACATGATCTCATAGCGTAGGCTACCCTGGAACTTGATATGTAGCTCAGGGTGGCCTGTTACTGTGATTTTCCTGCCTCAGCCTTTGAGTGCTGGGATTATAGCACTCGCCACCATGCCCAGCCTTACTTCACTTTTTAACAGTTACTCTTACATTATCCATGAACTTGAAGACTGTAGACAGTGTAGTAAATACTATAAGTCAATTGTTTTACCATTAGTAATTTTTGTTTTTCAAAGAAAACAAAAATTCAGTATTGCTGTATTTGAAACTTAGTGTAAGACAAAGCAGTATGGTAATGTAAATTTATCACATCTCTACATTCAGCCAGTTAAATCCGTCTTATAGTTATGAGAAACTGAAACAAGCTGAGGCCAGTTGGTTATACGGCTGAACCAAACGTGGAAGTATTGAATTAAAATTTTTATAGCAGTAGATTTTTAAGTACAGTACTGGCACAGTGGCTCACATCTGTAATCCTAGCTACTCAGGAGGTGGATATAGGAGAGGTTTGCAGTTTGAGGACAGCCTAGGCAAAAGTCAGTGAGACCCCATTTAAACCAATGAAATGCTGGCATGGCAGCTGACCTGAGTGGCCACTGCACTGCCTCAGACCTCTTACCTGTCCCGGGTCTCTGGAGCCACATCCAGTCAGTGGGAAGGGATCCAGCAGCTGCTGCAGGCTGAGAAGTGGACAGCTGAGAAGGTGTGCGAGGGCCACAGGTGAAAGAGCCAGAGGCTGAAGCAGGCTAAAGAAGACAGGCTGAAACTGACCAGTACTGCCTGCAGGGGGAGAAAGAGCTCAAGGCCAGGAAGTTGTGGCCCTGGGATCCTCTGGCAGTTGCAGCACTAAGGTGGAGATGGTGACCCAGGAAAGATGACCATCCTCCAGAACTACTTCTGGCAGAATAAGGATAAAGTCGTGGTCACCTCTTGGCTTTTGTGTGTGACATCCAGCCAGAAATCCACAAAAACTAGTGCATGGATGGATAGGACAAGAGAGAAACACTTGTTCCGTGGGTTGGCACAGTAGACGCCCTTATGGAATATGGACTATTACCAAAGCTCCCGTTCGGTTCTTCTGAAAGGCATTAAATTATTTCTCTACGCAAATAAGGCTTGTGCCTCTCATCCCAGCTAAGAAGGTAGCATAAACAGAAGGACCCAGGGGACAGCATGGGCAAAAATGTAAGACCCCCTGGAGTTGAGGCTGAAGCAGGAGACCACCTGCTTAACAAGCCCAAAGCACTGAGTTCAAACCAACAGTACTGCCCACAACTAAAGCAAGACTATTCAAAAACAGCAAATAGTGCTGGGGGCATGGCTCAAGTGCTAGGGTCCCTGGCTGGCAAGTGCAAGGCCCTAATTCAAACCCCAACTCCTAAAAATATATAAATACTAAAGAACCCTTGAAAACTCACAAGAGGCCTCAAACTCACTAGTGTTCACAAGGGACAAGGAAACAAAAGAATGAGACTCAGCGAACACAAACAGCAAGCGTTTACCAGGGAAACAAACTTGGAGTCTAGAGATTGGAGAACATTCATTTTTTTCCATTTTAGTACAAACAGCAAGGGCATTAACAATGGAATCAACAAATCCATATGTATTTTAGGATCGATTTTTCTACTCTGAAGAATGTCATTGGAATTTTGATAGGGATTGCATTGAACATGTAGATTGCTTTTGGAGTATAGCCATTTTCACAAGGTTGATTCTGCCAATCCATGAGCATGGGAGAGCGTTCTATCTTCTGATGTCTTCTTCGATTTCTCTCTTCAGTGGTTTATAGTTTCCCTTGACAAGGTCTTTGGTTTCCTTCGTTTAACTGATTCCAAGGTACTTTATTAGAGTTTTTCAGGTTATTGCAAATGGGATTATTTCCCTGATTTCTTGAGTCTAGTGACTATTTCTTTTGCTCTGCAGAAGCTTTTTAATTCATTTATTTTTCTCTTAGTTGCTAAGCCATTAGAATTCTATTTAGGAAGTTGTTGCCTATGCCTATATAATCAGAATTCCAAAACTATTGAGTAAGAGTGGGGAGAGAGGGCATCCTATCTCGTTCTGACTTCAGCAGGAATGGTTTCAGTTGTTCTCCATTTAGTATATAATGGTGGTATGGGTTTGTCATATATAGCCTTTAATATATTGAGGAACATTCAGGAAGGCATATTTTGAAGCAGTATAGATGTTAAGTCTGTTTTTTCTTTCCCCAAAGTTAAGGCTGTAGTGAAGACTATCAGTTTTACTTTTTGGGCTGAAGAACCAGTCAGCTGGCAAAGGCTGAGGTTCAATGATTTCTCTTGGCTCACCACTGTATACCCTGCCTTTCTCTCCTCATTTAGCAGAAAACTAATTCCATCAGTAAACCATTCAGCCTCGGTTTCAAGGAGTGGCTTATCTGATAGGTCTGGTTTCTGTGCATAAGTTTGTATGATCACATGCTTACAAGTATGCTCAGTCATTAGCTCACAGGGCAGCAAAGATGCAGGATTTAGGATGTTTATCTTCACTTCTGGGAACTCTAGAAGGTTGGCTTGGTATTTAGTTAATCTTTCCCTGGACATCCCCAAGTGACTTTTTAGTTCCAAGGTGGCTCTTACCTAATGGGTGGTAAGGTAAGAACTTCTAGCTGCTGACCCAGAGTAGTGGCCTCCTGTACTAGGAAGGTAATGGCAAGTATTGCCTCAGACATCGTGGCAAACCCAGGGCAACTCCTTCCAACCTCTTAGAATGAGGGAGAGGGGGGGGGGGGGTGGGGAGACATGGCCCAAACAATGTATGCACATATGAATAAATGAATAAAAAAAGAATGATAGGCAACTAACTGGACAAGGTTCCATCCCTAGGTTCTGAGTTAGTACCCTACAGTTAGTACCCTTTTGGTGGCAGAATACCATACAAGGTTTTTCCAAATTGGGAGTTCTTAGGAACAGGGCCTCAGTGAGGCCCTTTTTATGGGTTCTACAGGCATCATCTGTTTCTCTAGTCCCATTAGCAGCACCATGCTCAGTTTTCCTATTATATCCTGTCCCAAGAGTAAACCATGACATCCAGGGACTCTAAGAAATCTATGCATGTTGGTGGAGTGGCTGAAGATAGAGCACCTGCCTAGAAAGCATGAGGCCCTGAGTTCAAACCCAAGTACTGCAGAAAAAAGAAATTCCAAGAAATCTGTACATGAAGACTTGGATCTCAAAATAATAAGGCAAGAGGTGGGTGGAATTTCTAACCCTATTTTTTCCCATCAACCTTCATTACATCATCAGGGAGAAAGGCTTTCCCACATAGGTAGGAAGAACAGAGTAAGTTGCCCCATATCCAATAGGAAGTGAATTTACTTACCCATGTGCTGATCTTAGGCGGGGGCTGCTGAGGGCACTTCTGGCACCCTCAGTTCTGCTCTGCTTCTGCCAGTGCAGCCAGAGTCTTAACTGCCTGGGTCCTTCTCTGAGAGTGGGGACAGTCAACCCTCCAGTGCCAAAACTCTTCTTTCAGAGCAGTTTTGACAAGGGCTCGGGGTGGGGGGGGGGGCACCAGGCAATCCATGGCAAAATGCCGAGGATTCTTGCATTAGTAATAGGTTGACTTTGGGATTGCCTCCTCTCTCACGTTAGGGTGCCTTGCAAGGGAGGGCATTCCCAATCATGAGACATGGCAGCCATAACTTTGTCCTGCTTCCTTTCCTTACTCTGTCTTTTCTTTTTCTTTTCCAGGTTACAGTTATTATAGATCAGAAAAGCAGTGTCCAGCAAATGGATTTTATTAGTCTGAGGTTCAAGTTGTACCTTCTGAAGCTTCCACCTGAAGTCTGGGGTGGACTGAGTAATAAAATGGTGGCCTAGAGGGAGTGGCCCCTCTCTAGAGCAGGGATTGACACTGATATATTTTCTAAAGGCTTCCTGCAGCCTGTCCTAAGATGATACGGACTTCTACCTGAGTAATTCCTCTAACCTCATCATAATTAATGGGTTTAGCATTCCTGATTTCATGCCCATGAGGGTTGCCTCCACCATGTTAGCTTTCCTTCACCTCTGCCCCATCCCCAGAGTGTTGGTAGTCACAGTTAGGCTCATTTTCAGGGACAGTATCAGTCCATAGCTGACAATCCCAAGGGTCACATCTGTCTCCCTACAATCAGCAATAAGTATTCTTTCTTTTTCTGTGAGGGTGAAACAGCTGGCCAAAAGGAACTGATATTTCTCCAGGACAGATGGAAAGATAAGGATAGGGTGTGAAACCCTTCTGCAAATTTATCAGGGTCCTCAGAATATCTCCCACATTTTTCTTTGCACTGTTGGATATCAGCTACAGGAAAAGGCACTTATACCCAAACCGGCCCCTCCAGCCCCTCCATCTCTCCCAGCGGGAACAAGGCTTGGGAAGCCTCCAAGGAAAGTGTTTCACTTCGAGTATATAGGGGTCTCAGGAGTGTGGGGGGCTCATCAGAGGTTGGGGTGCACAGGGAGGATTATAGTAAGGAGAGAGGTGTCCCCCGGGAGCCAGGCGTCGCTCCCTGTAGCAGGGGATCAAGGATGTCCACATCCTCATTATTTGCTTTCCTCCTTTGGGGGCTGGAGGTCGACCTACAAAGGGAAGGGTCTTGACACAAGGCCATAAAAGCTTTGGCATACGATACTTATCACCATATGCCTTTTCTCTTACAAAACAAATCTAAGTGTAAAATGGGATTATAACTTCAGCTCCCATCTTGGGCCACTTTACTTGACTCCCCAGTTGGTATTGGGCCAGGCTACATTCCAGTAGGAGACAATGTGTTTCTTTTTCAGATTACCAGGATCGAAATGATCCTGATGTTTAAGGATACAGCCAAGTGGAGAATCTGTTGGGATACATGTACTTCTCCCCATTTTGATCTGAAGAAAGAATAAAGGAGAAGAGAGAGAAGAAACACAACCCTTAGGAGGTAAGGAGGCTGGGACTCCATGAGCCCTTAGGGTACCCTCTATGGTCCTGAGATGGTAGAGGGGAATGAGAATGACCCCAACTTTCCTCCAAAACATGGCCAGACGTCTTTGGCAGTGGATGGGCATCAACATGCTGATATTTTTGGCTCCTCCAATGGCCGTGTCCAGTGTCCACCAGTCTGACCCCTGGGTGGAGGCCTCTGCTTTGGGCGTCCAACCTGAATCAGGTGTGCTTGGTGGTATATAGTGATAGACATGTGCCAGGTGTTCCAGATAAATAAGGAAAGTGGAAGTGAAAGTACACTGGCTCAGTAAAGTGGGGAACAGAGGTGGGATTTTGTGTAGGGGCTTACCTCCTGGCTGATTCACCAAAAATGGTACTGGTGGGTGGGGTCAGAAGACCCTGGTAGAGAAGATCTCAGGTACTTGGCATCCAAGCAAAGAATTAGATGGTGACATACAGATAGCAAAACAGTAACAGTGTTTTATTGAGAGCAAGAGTGTACACTCCCCAAGAAAGGGGGGAGTATCAGGCTGTAAGTGACAGGGGTTACCAGCAGCACCTGTAGCACCCCTTGGTTGGGATGGGTTTTTATACACTGCAGGGGATAAGAAAAGGGAAGAGATTTGAGTGGTACTTAGGAGTGGCTTTTGTTGATTGACCATACATGTGAATTACATGGGCTCTAATTAGGGTTCGGTCCAGATGAAAATGCTTTTTCAAAAGGGGCATTTTGGAGTCATTCTGGGTAGAGATAGATCACCTGTTGCCCCATAAGGCTAGCTCCAGGGAGGCTTCATGTCCCCCATGACCTGGTTTGGGTACTTTCGCTAAATTTCCTGCCTCAATTCCATCCCTGCAAGGTTTGCCAAATTCTATAACCAGAGCTTCCCATTCCCCCAGCAATAGGGCCTGGCTCTGGGTTGGAACACCCACCTACATTAAGAGAGAACAACATAATATGTATAAGAGCAGAAAATGGATTTATTTACAGATCAGGTGAAAACTGGAGACTGAGAACTTCTTAATCCATGTCTGCCTTGCCCATAACAAGGACACAACCTTACAGAAAAGGTCACAGTTTACAAAAAAAAAAAAAAAAAGTCATAACTTACAGAAAAGTGTTACACTTTCAGAAAAGATGAAGCAAAGTTCAGGAAGTACACATGTGCTCATTTAGCTTAGGTCCCAGTTACCAGAACTGGGAGGCAGTCTTTCTTCTGGTGCCAGGGTTCTTGTGGTTGTTTTCACTCCCAGCATGGAATTTCCTTTAGGGACCCAACGCCTAGAGACCCCTTACACTGGGGATTGACCCAGGACTTCATGCAAGCTCGTCAAGGGCTCTACCACTGAGCTACATCCCTAGTCCTGCCCTCTACTTCTTATGCTACATGTAGGTGTATAAAGGCTCATGTCATCATGTTCTGTAATTTACATATGCATCCATACATGTATATTTAATATTTATAAAAGAAAAATAGTCATAAATATGTTTAAATGAAACTAAACGGTTCAGCCCCAGTGCATGAGAACCATCCCAAAGGCATCATTGAGACTGAAGAAAGAGAAACAGACACATACAGAATAGGACAGAGTACAGTTTCTTGGGGACTTAGTGATGGGAGTGTGATTTGGGGCAGCAGGAAGACAAAGTGGATCCCCACGGGTTAGGTCAGATGAGAAATGTTAGGAGAAAGTGAGTTTATCCAAGCCAGAGTGTATCTGAAGAATTCTAAGCTAGTATCAAAGAGTCAGGAACATCCAGGCACCAAGGTCTAGTTCAAAAGCTCCACACACTGCTCTAATGAATTTATCTGTGGAGGAAAATGTGACAGGTTTTTCTTTAGAGCCATCATGGCGGTTACCACTGAAGATAGCTGCAACATGTCAGGCTCAATCCATATAGAAACAAAGAGGTCTGCCCACATCTGAAGCAGTTATGAGAAGTGAAATACTGTTTTCTTTCTTGCAGTTCTAGGGAACACAGGGTTTTAAGCTAGACTGGCAGGCATTCTGCCACTTGAGCCATGTCCCCAGGCCATGAAAATGCTTTTTATCAGTTCTCAGGAGAGCTGGGAGGGCAGTTTATGCCTCTTGTTTCACCATTATCAGAGGAAGCCCCTTTCATTCTCAGCAGTCTCTACAGCACCCAAACGTGATCATCAACAGACTCTGTACCACCCGAGCATGACTAAACGGTTCCAGTGATGGAAACAGTGGACCAGGGCTACATCATCATGGAACACAATAGTAGGGCAGAGCTCCTGCAGTATATCCAACAGACCAACTGCCTGCATGAGAATGAGGCCCATGGAGTATACAAGCAGATTGTGTGTGCCATCAAATACTGCCACAAAAAAGGCATGATACACACACACACGTGAAATCTAACATCCTGCTGCATGCCCAAGGATACATCGAGAAGAGCGACTTTGGCTTTAGCTTCAGATTCTGATAGAGTTGTGTGCTGTTTTTTCAGTCCATGCCACCAAACTCTTCCTGTACCACAAATACAATGGCCTGAGTGTCCCCCTGGACTACATGGTCACAGCTGCCTTCCCATTTAAAGGGAAGACATTTTTGCAGCTGCAGCAGCAGGTCCTGCACCCAAGGTATGGCATACCATCTTACCTCTCTGTGGAACTGCAAGGCATCATCATTCAATTACTCACCCTCAAGCCTAGCGAGAAGACTGCCCTGGAGAACATCATGGGGAGCCTGTGCCTCAGCCAAGGTGAGGAAAGTCACTGAGTCCTACTGACACACTGCCTAAACACTTGAACCCTACAATCCTGGCAGCCATGTGTGACCTGGGTTACAAATCACGTGAGATTGATGAGTTTTTATTAATCAGGAAATTCAGTGAGTAATGGCAACATTCCTCATGAGTTCAAACCCCAGTAATGCCCCACTCACCAAATTTAGAGTTTTCACAACATGATTTTCTTCTTGCTTCTTTCTTCTGTATCCTTTTGTCACTGGAGAGGAAAGGGATAAGGAAGATGTCCTGGTGAGAGAGAAGGGGGAGAAACCCTCAACTCATGTTCACAATTTCCATCTAACCAGGAAATGCTGTTTCTACATAAATGAATCAGGAATAATTCCTATTACTATTAACCAAGTAATTATACCTGTTTGGAATGACCAATAAAAATTAAAAATTGGGGTATGGACTGCTTTTCCTGGAAGCTCAATGTCTGGTCTACGTATAAATGCTCACCACTTTTCTTGGCCCTCTGGCTGCCATCCTTTCTTTGCTCATTTTTGGCCCATGCCTTCTCTGCTTTGTGATATCTTTTCTTCAGCACCACAAAACCTTATTCATGAAAAACTTGCACAACCCCAAGACTCAAATACCCAACCTGGCTATTCATTTTCAACCCATACCCCAAAGTGATTCCCCTTTTTTCATACTGGGGTTTGAACTCAGGATGTACACCTTGAGCCACTCCACCCAGCTGTGTCTGTCATGGATTTTTTTCAAGATAGAGTCTCAAGAACTAGTTGCTTGGGCTGGCTTCGAACTGTGATCCTCCTGATCTCTGCCTCCTGAGTAGCTAGGATTATAGGTGTGAACCACAAGCACCCAGTCCAAAATGACCCCTTGACTCCTCAGGGACAAGTCTGTACACCTTCTCAGCATGAAGCATGTATAGAAGATGGACCTCACATCCTCAACAACCCTAGAGTGGGTGGGGGCGGGGTTGCCCCTTGTCATCTTCCAAAGAATCATCTCTTCCATGTCTGATGGAGGGAACTGTAAAGCCCAAAAATTAGTCTAAATAACTCCCTTTTGCATCTAGACCCGATTCTGTGTAGATTCCCACAAAACCTTGCTTATCCTTTTCAAACTCTTTTCTGTTCTAGTCTGACAAACGACAGTACTCAAAAACTTTGAAGACCTATCTCTGGACCAAGCCAAACCCGGCCAATGTGCTGATCTAATCAGGGATGCAACCTCACCATCTGTGAAAGGGACAAACAACTGCCTGACCCACTCCCCTACCTGTTTCTACAACTGCCTCCTTACAAAAACATTTAAGGACTCACTCAAATTACCTCATGAAGCCAATGGTGTCTGGTCCTTTTCTCTCTTGGAAAGTAAATAAAAAACTTTGTCTCTGCTTTAACTCCCATCTATATAGCATTGTTCACCACCTGCCCACTAGCCACACTACTGGGATCTAACACATAGGACTTTCCTCAGTCCCAGGAACTTTTGCCTTAGGGTTTCTCTATAAAAATTTACTTAACAGTATCTACCTATCTATCTCTCTACCTACGTATCAATCATCTATCTATCAGGGTCAGGATTTGAACTCAGAGCTTCACACTAGCAAAGCAAGTACTCTATTGCTTGAGGCACATGTCCAGTCCATTTTGTTCTGGTTAGTTTGGAGATGGCGGGGTCTCCTTAAGTCTTAACCCGGGGAGACCTCACACCACTTCCCCTTCCCCATTTCAGCTCTTGGGATTGCCAGCATGAGCCAGCAGCAGCACCCGGGTTAAAATTGTACTATATAGCCAGGCATGGTAGGACACACTTGTAAATCCAGCACATGGGAAACTGACAGGAGGCTTGAGAGTTTATGGCCAGCTTGGATTACACACGGAGACCTTGTTTCCAAATAAATAAATGAAACAAAAAATATTTCTGAAGCTCTTATGAATGGTATTATTTTCCTCATTTCTTTCTCAGCCTGTTCATTATTTGTGTATAGAAATGCTACTTATTTTTATGTAATGACCAACTGTGCATCCATCATCATCCTTTAATAACAAATGAAAAAACAGCCATTTTCAGATAATCAGAGGCTGAAGGAATTCATTACAAGCATATCTGCCGTATAAGAATTGCTATAGGAACAGGGCCAGGAGGTAAAGATGCCCTCCATGGCCCTGCATCTCCTTGGAAAGGCCGTGGTATGAAAGGCACAGGAAGGCAGTAGTAAACAGCAGATAGGGATAGAACAGAAGTCTGGGAACACTGAACTTTAGATTTCTAAAAGTAGAAAGGACCCTCAAATAGAGTGCTAAAGAGAGGCCTTAAGAAAATTCCAGGGAAGAGCAGAAGAAGCTCTAGTTTTGTTTCTCTAATCCCCAAAAGCTTCCCCTCCCCAGTAACTAAACAAAAAATCACTTGGGAGAATGTGTGTGGATCCATAAAACTAGTTGAGACTGGGACTGAAATTCAGACACAAAACCATGTGGGTAGAGACCACAAACTCCAAGACAGAGGTGCCATGCTGAGAAAGTGCCAGTACGGGACCGCCTCAGGTGCATGGGACCCGCCAGGAGTGCAGTGGGGAACAGACTGGGAGTCGGCACAACCTGAGTGACATGGGAATCCCGCAAGCCAAAGCCAGGGCTGCTGCCTGGGGAGTGAGCATGGACAGTGAGCACTGCCAAGGTGCTGCCTCGTTGGGATCTGGATGCAATCTGGCGTGAGTCAAGGCAGAGTGGTGACAAGCCCCAGTGGCAATCATGACAGTCAAGTGGAGAGCACAGTAGGAGTCAGCAGGAGCATGACTGACTCGGTAATTTCCATCAATCAAGTGGGGAGCGAGCCTGGAGTCAACACGAGTGAGGAACTAGCCTGGAGAGAACTGGGAGGTTGGGAGCCACAGGTTGCCGGGAGTCAGGAGGGGAGCAGCTGCTTGCTGTTCGCCCAGCTTGCAAGTAGCATTTTCTGTGCACCTGCTGGGTAGGAGATCTGGCTCCGGACTGTGCAGTTGCTGGATGAGCGGTCTGCCATTGACTTAAATCCCCAAACTAGACAACCCCCACTGGCCTAGCCTGTTTGACCTTCAAAGAAAAAAACAACTGTTCCAAGGAGCAGGGAAATCTTGTACCAACCTCCCCAATAAGGAAGAACTATGGATTTTTGTTTCTTTTTATTTTTTTTTGCAGCTATTATCAAAAATGTGTTTCTATGATCTTTACTATTTTATCTTTCTCTGCACATATCTTACTGTGTTCTCTGTTCCTACTAATTGAATGCCTTCCCACCATATACTTTTCACCTCTTTTATATCTTGCTTCTATTTTCCTTTCCCACCCCCTGCTTTTATTATTTAGTTTTTAATATGTATGCATTTAAAAAGTATTAACTCCTACCTTACCCAGTAAGTAACCTAGTTCTTCCTTTATAAACTTACGGGGGAGTAGTTGAAGTTTACATTTTTTGATATTTTGAGGCGGTGTCTCATTATTTAGGCCAGGCTAACTTTGGACTCAGGGTGATGCCCCTGCCTCAGTCCTTGGGAGAAGATACCACAGAACAAAGTGAGCTTTCATAGAGACATCAGCACAGCCATGTCAACCCAGCACTGCACAACTGCCAAGTGACAGAACCCATAGGTGCCTGTCAGTGGATGAGCGCTGTAAAAATGTGGTGAATCGACACAATGGAGGTTTATTTGGCCAAGAGGAATGAAATGATATTATTTGCAAGACAATGAGATTTCATCATGTTAAGAGAAACAAGAAAGACAAGTCATTGAATGTTTTCTCTCGTGAATTTAAGGAAAAAGAGCGTGAAAGTAATAGGGAATCTTAGAGATGTGAAAGGGGACAAGGTGTAGGAGAGGGGATAAGAGGCAGTAATAGAGGGTTGAGTATGATGAAAGTATTTTGTATGCACGCAGGAAAATGACCCAATAAAACCCATTACTTCATGACATTCATATGTTCTAATTAAAGCCAGAGAAAATAACATAACTAGACAATTTTTCCAAATGTTACAACTTAACATACATCAAACAATGAGGCAAATGATTAAATATTTTAATTAAGTGATAACAAAAATAAATGATACCCAAATCTGTAGAATGTCTGGAGGAAATTTATCATTTTAAATGCTTATATGAATAAAAAGCTGCAAGATTGTGGAACAACTATTTAGATCCAAAGTAAGATTCTCACATTGCTGTTTTCTATATTAAGACAGAACACAAACAATAAACAGAATGTGTTCTTAAAGAGACCTCAAGGGAACTAACCCCAGGGGCCACAACTAGGCAGCAGTCCTCATGGCTGCCCCAGTCTCCAGGAAGGGATCTATTTGTTAGTTCCCAGTCATCCATGCTTGACCAGAGACAGCCACGTGTCCCATCCTTAATGTTCTGCTCCAGGAAAAAGGCCGTTCCCTTCTCAGCCTAGCTGTGAATTTCCCATCACCCAGGTCCAGAAGGGAACCAGCCGATATAGGAATTCTGTGACAGTGCCCAACAGCAGACAGCATCCAGGTAAGTGGGGCTGGGAGAGCAAATGAGAGACGATTTCCTCCAACAATAGACAGATTCTCATGCACATTGAACAGATGAGCTGTGCACTGGGAACAGAACAGTCCATCTCCAGGATGGAAACAGGAAAGTGGGCAGTGGAAAGAGGAGAAGATAACTAGGTTTAGCAGTGCTATGACCAGTGGCTGGAGTCTGTTCAGAAGCCTGGGAGAGCTCAGAACCAAGAGCCCCACTTCCTGGAAACCCAACACAGCCTCTCCTCTGTCAGACATGCTACTGTGTCCCTCATGTCCACTTGTTGCTAGTTGACTCCGTGTCCTCCGAAAGTGATCCACGATCACATAATAAAGGTGATGCAGATCTCAGCTACTTGGTGCCAGCCTGAGCCCCAAGAGGGATGCTGGCTGCACTGGAGTCCTCAGCCTTTTTTCATGGTGCAGGGACCCAAACACTCAGGGAAGCAGTTATGTCAGATGTGGAAACACGCTGACACCCTAGCATGACTGACCACGGATCAATGCATGAGAGCAGACATCAACTGATTTCAGTTATATGAGCTAATGTCATTGTCACAGTTGTGCTAGAAGTACTCTCTCCCTCAGGAAGCTGCAGGGGAAGCTGAATTCTATTTCACAGATTGCCTGATGAAAATTTAATCAGACCAACTGCATTCCCTACCACAATTCAGTGGTTTGCTTCAGAAGCTCTATGTCTTGAGGTTAAACTGTGGAACAGTGATATTTCATCCACCAAATGCCCCTCCTAGCCAGCCCACCTCTCAATGCAAATGCTCTAGGAGGAGACTGTGGCCATTCTCAGCACAGGGCCTTTGTAGCAGTTACAACCCCCGAGAGCACAGGCCCCCGACATCCCTATCACACCCCTTTCCCTCTGCTTCTGCTGTGAAACTGTCTGTCCTGAAGACCACAGTATTCTCATCTACAGTCAATGAACTCTGCTTGTGAGACTATATACCCCCCAGTGCCTGCCAAAACCTTCAACATATACGGTCCACATTTACTGTGTTTCCTCAGGAGCAATGTCTACCTTCCTTCTTGACCTGCTCTACTTTGACAATGGGAGTGAATCCAGATAAAAACTGAATTCAAATCTCAGCACTTCTCTTCAATTTCATTCATTTAACTCTCACTCTGGTAGATTCCTCGCTGTCTCCATAATATGTACATCCTATATGCAATCCACCCCCCAAAAGTAACTGCTACGATATTCTCTGCCAGGCAGTCAGGCCACCTCCCATAGCAGCAGCTGGTCTTTCTGCTTCCTTTTCTTCAGGCCACTGATCTCCCACTGATCACATCTCCTTTCCTTCCCACTTGACCAATGACCTCTCCCAGGGACCCTACAGTCCACAGTGTTTTACTTGACCACCACACACCCACACCTCTGGTGATTTTTTAGTCCTGGAATACTTTTTGTAAACCACATGAAATTGCTCTTTATCAATTTGCAAATCCCTTTCATCACATGAAAAAATATTCTGCTACCATAGGCCTCTGCCATTCCTCTTTTGATGGCACTAAGGAGAGGGGACACTGCACATAACCACTGACAGCAGCTCAGGTGAGCACACCAAGAGCTGTGAGCTCTGGTGACCACATCTTAATGACAGAGAAAGTGCTGAGGACAAACCACCAGGCAGGCCTATTAAAGCCCATGAATGTTCAAATTCTGAGAAAACAGACAAGTCACAGACAAAACCTTCAGGATTAGAGTTGGCATCTGACACAGATGA